TTTTGAAATTAAAAAAAGGCAAAACACCAATGTCTAATCCATAAATAAATGACCGATGATATCAAACAAAATCTCTATGTCAGAATACACTTAATTTAAAAATGTGCTGTCATGAAGTGGTACTCATTGATATAATTTATTAAGGCGCTGTCAACTCTTAAGAGATATCCTCTAGTACAGGGGTTGGGAACCTTTTTGTCTGAGAAAGCCATGGACACCATATATTTTGAAAAGTAATTATGTGAGCCATACTTATGTTTAAAACTAAAAATTCAAGTAAATGTGTGCATTTTGTGTAATTTCAACACTAAAAATGCAATAATTATGCCTCTGAATTCTTTGAAATGACATTGTTATGCTGTTGCTAATCAAATATTTATATGCAATTAATATGTAGATCAAAGGAGTCTAAATAAACATTTTTTTATAATCAACATTTTGCTGCGAGCCAGATGCAGCCATCAATAGAACCACATCTGGCTCATGAGCCATAGGTTCCTGACCCCTGCTCTAGTAGGTGGCATGGAACCTTTTACATAAATAACACTCAAACTTCTTGAGAAAACAAAAATTCACACAGTTAAGGGAAATATATGACATTAGGACCAGACCTGCAATAGAGTCAAAATCCTATTTTAAGCGATGGAAACAATTTTAGTCTTCACACAGTTCTTTTATCGAACTGTAAGAAAACTACAGTGGAACCAGGGATATTGAACGCCCTAATTAATGATTTAAATTAGTGAAAAGGATAGACAGTTGCAGAGTTATTTGTTGGCTTGTGGAGGGTGATTTGATAAATTGCACAGAAGAAATGAAATTCATGGTTTTATAAGACATGGAGAGGCAGCTAATTCAGATTAAATGATATATTTTTCATACAGAAAAACACTTACAAACATAGAAAAACCATATTTTTATAATGCTGGAACAGATTCATTGAGTTTACATTGATTTCAATTAGAAAAATTATTTTGGTAAGCGAACTTTTCTTGCAAGTTATCTGCATATACTGAGTGAAATTCAGGGTCCAAGAACAAGTGCAATTTTTTACCCCCAAAAATCTTTTTTAATGGGTGGTAGGTGGAATTTAAAAAAAAAAAATTAATGCTTTCAGGGTGCAAAAACCATAAAAATTCCTAAGAAGGTCTGTAGCAATGACACCTCCATACTATTATTATAATTAGAAGTCTAAGGTTCATCAAAAAATGAACTTCATTAACCAAAAATTACTTTATAATACACATGGAAGCAATTATACAAGTGAAGGCCTACATCTGTCTTAAGAATGTCAATGCTTACATTGTGTCTGAGACTACACAATATTTGGATTTCTTGAAATAAAACACCAGTTGATATACTGTATTTAGGCATCAAAGTGGTCCAAATACAAATCAAGGCAACTTCTAGAAGCTGTACCTACAAGGACTGCACAGGACTTTTAATAGGGTAACAAATTTAAAGACCTGCAAATTAAGAGGAACCGAGAATGATCTTTAAAAAAAAGTATTTTACAAAAAGAGAACTATGTCCCTAAAACTAATGTACACTTAATATTATATTTTATAAACATATTCTATTTTAAGTTAAAGTGTTAAGCTGAAAGGAGAAGATATTCTTTACTAATACTTATAGAAGATAAAAAAAAAGTTAACTTTTATAACTCAGAAAAAAATCTGCATCAGGGTTGCCAAAGGTCTATAAATTTTGACCAAAAATGGTAATTGAAATAAAATTCATTTGAAGAAGTGAAAGTAAATTGGAAAACTTGTCATTGCTTGCTTTTACATTTAATGATTATTATCAGGAGAAATTTAACACTAACTATAAATATAAAATTGGCTCATAATCTTATAACATAGACATGATATTGCCATATGCAAGAATACTTTTAACAAACCGTGTCATCATGGTCAACTATTTAATATTAAAAATATACTTAAAAATTACGAAAAAAATTTGTTTATAAATTAAAAATTTTTGAGTTGGCAACCCTGCTAGCATAATGATGAACAAAGGCAGTGCCAGTTGTATTACTGTGGGTTAAATAATAATATTTTAGTTAGAAAAAAAAAATTCATAAAAAAAGAGAAAATAAGGCTATTTATTTTCTTTCCTGAATTGTCAGGGGACTAATTGTTATAATAATTATGTTCCATTAGGAATCCTGCGCCTTCTGCAACAGAAAACTGATGTCTGCGGATTCCTTTGTCAAGGAGAGTGGAGTCAGTCATAATGAAGATAACAAGGGTGGGGATACTGATGGTGATGGTACACCAGATCATTTGGACTTTGATGATGATAACGATGGTGTCCCAGACTCTGAGGATGCTGATGATGATGGAGATGGTATTCCAGATGAGAAGGAAATTGACAGTGATGGTGATGGTATTGTGGATTACTTAGATAATGATGATGATAATGATGGTGTTTTAGACTGGAAAGAGCCAATAGATACTGACAAAGATGGTATTCCAGATGATATAGACAAAGATGATGACGATGACGGTATAATTGATAGTCAAGATAAGGATGGTAATGGCAATGGAATTCTGGATGATGAGGAAGGAGATCGTGATAATGATGGCATTCCAGACTATTTAGATCGAGATGATGATGGAGATGGAATTCCTGATCATCTTGACACTGATGATTATAGTAAAAAAGTTGACATTGAAGATGACATACTAGAAACCGGCGGTCACCAAAAAGAAACGGAACCTGATATGCTTGAAGGTGATTCTGATGGTGATGGTATCCCAGATCATTTGGATGATGATGATGATAATGATGGTGTTCCAGATTCTGAAGATAATGATGATGATGGGGATGGTATTCCTGATGAACTGGAAAAGGATACTGATGGAGATGGTATCCCAGATCATTTGGATGATGATGATGATAATGATGGTATTCCAGATTCTGAAGATAATGATGATGATGGGGATGGTATTCCCGATGAACAGGAAAAGGATAATGATGGAGATGGTATCCCAGATCATTTGGATGATGATGATGATAATGATGGTATTCCTGATGCTGAAGACAATGATGATGATGGAGATGGTATTCCTGATGAGCAAGAAAAGGATACTGATGGAGATGGTATCCCAGATCATTTGGATGATGATGATGATAATGATGGTATTCCTGATGCTGAAGATAATGATGATGATGGGGATGGTATTCCTGATGAACAAGAAAAGGATACTGATGGAGATGGTATCCCAGATCATTTGGATGATGATGATGATAATGATGGTATTCCTGATGCTGAAGATAATGATGGGGATGGTATTCCTGATGAACAAGAAAAGGATACTGATGGAGATGGTATCCCAGATCATTTGGATGATGATGATGATAATGATGGTATTCCTGATGCTGAAGACAATGATGATGATGGAGATGGTATTCCTGATGTGCAAGAAAAGGATACTGATGGAGATGGTATCCCAGATCATTTGGATGATGATGATGATAATGATGGTATTCCTGATGCTGAAGATAATGATGATGATGGAGATGGTATTCCTGATGAGCAAGAAAAGGATACTGATGGAGATGGTATCCCAGATCATTTGGATGATGATGATGATAATGATGGCATAAGTGACAAAGACGATAATGATGATGATGGGGATGGTATTCCTGATGAACAAGAAAAGGATACTGATGGAGATGGTATCCCAGATCATTTGGATGATGATGATGATAATGATGGTATTCCAGATTCTGAAGATAATGATGATGATGGGGATGGTATTCCTGATGAACTGGAAAAGGATACTGATGGAGATGGTATCCCAGATCATTTGGATGATGATGATGATAATGATGGTATTCCTGATGCTGAAGACAATGATGATGATGGAGATGGTATTCCTGATGAGCAAGAAAAGGATACTGATGGAGATGGTATCCCAGATCATTTGGATGATGATGATGATAATGATGGCATTCCTGATGCTGAAGATAATGATGATGATGGGGATGGTATTCCTGATGAACAAGAAAAAGATACTGATGGAGATGGTATCCCAGATCATTTGGATGATGATGATGATAACGATGGTATTCCTGATGCTGAAGATAATGATGATGATGGGGATGGTATTCCTGATGAAAAAGAAAATGATATTGATGGAGATGGTATCCCAGATCATTTGGATGATGATGATGATAATGATGGTATTCCTGATGCTGAAGACAATGATGATGATGGAGTTGGTATTCCTGATGAGCAAGAAAAGGATACTGATGGAGATGGTATCCCAGATCATTTGGATGATGATGATGATAATGATGGTATTCCAGATTCTGAAGATAATGATGATGATGGGGATGGTATTCCTGATGAACAAGAAAAGGATAGTGATGGGGATGGTATCCCAGATCATTTGGATGATGATGATGATAATGATGGTATTCCTGATTCTGAAGACAACGATGATGATGGAGATGGTATTCCTGATGTGCAAGAAAAGGATACTGATGGTGATGGTATCCCAGATCATTTGGATGATGATGATGACAATGATGGTGTTCCAGATTCTGAAGATAATGATGATGATGGAGATGGTATTCCTGATGAGCAAGAAAAGGATACTGATGGTGATGGTATCCCAGATCATTTGGATAATGATGATGATAATGATGGTATTCCAGATTCTGAAGATAATGATGATGATGGGGATGGTATTCCCGATGAACAGGAAAAGGATACTGATGGAGATGGTATCCCAGATCATTTGGATGATGATGATGATAATGATGGTATTCCTGATGCTGAAGATAATGATGATGATGGAGATGGTATTCCTGATGAAGAAGAAAAGGATACTGATGGTGATGGTATCCCAGATCATTTGGATGATGATGATGATAATGATGGTGTTCCAGATTCTGAAGATAATGATGATGATGGAGATGGTATTCCTGATGAGCAAGAAAAGGATACTGATGGTGATGGTATCCCAGATCATTTGGATGATGATGATGATAATGATGGTATTCCTGATGCTGAAGATAATGATGATGATGGAGATGGTATTCCTGATGAGCAAGAAAAGGATACTGATGGAGATGGTATCCCAGATCATTTGGATGATGATGATGATAATGATGGCGTACCTGACAAAGAAGATAATGATGATGATGGGGATGGTATTCCTGATGAACAAGAAAAGGATACTGATGGTGATGGTATCCCAGATCATTTGGATGAAGATGATGATAATGATGGTGTTCCAGATTCAGAGGACACTGATGATGATGGGAATGGTATTCCCGATGAACAAGAAAAGGATACTGATGGTGATGGTATCCCTGATCATTTGGATAATGATGATGATAATGATGGTATTCCTGATACAGAGGATGATGATGGGGATGGTGTTACTGATAATGAAAAGGAGCAGAATGTTGATAAAAATGACATTCCAGACTACTTGGAAAAAGATACAGATGGTGATGGAATTCCTGATTATTTGGATGATGATATAGATGGTGATGGAATCCCAAATGAAAAAGATGAGGATGATGACGGAGATGGCATTCCAGATAAAGAAGAAGATTCAGATGGTGACGGGATTCCAGATTTTTTAGATGAAGATGATGATGGTAATGGAATACCAGATCACCTTGAAAAGGACACTGATGGGGATGGTGTTCCAGATTACTTAGATAATGATATTGATGGTGATGGAATCCCTAATGACCAGGATGCTGATGATGATGGTGATGGAATTCCTGATAAGTTTGAAGGAGATAGTGATGGTGATGGAATACCAGACTATTTGGAAGATACTGATGGGGACGGTGTTCCTGACTATTTAGATGATGATATTGATGGAGATGGTATTCCAAATGATGAAGATGGAGATGATGATGGTGATGGCATACCTGATATTTGGGAAGGAGACAGTGATGGTGATGGGGTACCAGACTATTTGGAAGATACTGATGGGGATGGTGTTCCAGACTATCAAGATGATGATATAGATGGAGATGGTATTCCCAATGATGAAGATGATGATGATGATGGGGATGGAGTTCCCGATGAGCTGGAAAAAGATACAGATGGGGATGGTATTCCTGATTTTTTAGATGATGATATTGATGGGGATGGTATTTCTAATGATCAAGATGATGATGATGACGGTGATGGAATTCCTGATATAAATGAGGATGAAGATGGTGATGGAATCCCTGATCATCTGGATGATGATGATGATAATAATGGCATACCTGATCACCTTGAAGGGGACAGCGATGGTGATGGTGTACCAGACTATTTGGAAGATACTGATGGGGATGGTGTACCTGACTACTTAGATGATGACATTGATGGAGATGGTATTCCAAATAATGAAGATAGTGATGATGATGGGGATGGCATACCTGATAACTGGGAAGGTGACAGCGATGGTGATGGGGTACCAGACTTTTTAGAAGATACTGACGGAGATGGTGTACCTGACTACTTAGATGATGACATTGATGGAGATGGCATTCCAAATGACCAAGATAGTGATGATGATGGGGATGGCATCCCAGATATATGGGAACGTGACAGTGATGGTGATGGCATTTTGGATTATTTAGAAGACACAGATGGCGATGGTATTCCCGATTATAAGGATGATGATATAGATGGAGACGGTATACCTAATGATGAAGATGCTGATGATGATGGTGATGGAATTCCAGATGAACTAGAAAAAGACACAGATGGTGATGGAGTGCCTGACTATCTTGATGATGATGATGATGGTGATGGAATACCTGACAACCTGGAAATTGACACAGATGGAGATGGGATACCTGACTATAAGGATGATGATATTGATGGAGATGGTATTCCAAATGACCAAGATGAAGATGATGATGGTGATGGCATACCAGATGCTCTTGAAAAAGATACAGATGGTGATGGTGTACCAGACTATCTAGATAATGATGACGATGGTAATGGCATACCTGATAATTTGGAAGTTGATACTGATGGAGATGGTGTACCAGATTATCTGGATGATGATGATGATAATGATGGCATCCCAGACTCTTTAGATGATGATGATGATGGGGATGGCATTCCGGATCACCTTGAAACTGATACAGATGGGGACGGAATACCTGATTTTCTAGATGAAGATGATGATAATGATGGTATCCCAGATCATCTTGATGAGGACCAGGATGGTGATGGCATTCCTGATGTTTACCAAGTTGACACTGATGGGGATGGGCTTCCAGACTATCTTGATGATGATGATGATAATGATGGAATACCAGATTCATTGGATACTGATGATAACAATAATGGTATTCCGGATGACCAGGAAGTTGATACAGATGGTGATGGTATTCCTGATTATATTGATGATGATGATGACAATGATGGTATTCCAGATTACATTGATGATGATGCAGATGGAAATGGAGTTCCTGATTCACAAGAGATTGATACTGATGGGGATGGAGTTCCAGACTACCTTGATGAAGATGATGACAATGATGGCATCCCAGATACTGATGATGATGATGATGATGGTGATGGTATCCCAGACAGTCATGAAATCGATTCTGATGGTGATGGAATTCCTGATAATTTAGATGATGATGATGACAATAATGGAATCCCTGATCATTTGGAGAAAGACACTGATGGTGATGGTGTTCCAGATTATCTTGATGATGATGATGACAATGATGGCATTCCTGATGACTTGGATGATGATGATGATGGAGATGGAATACCAGATCAGTTAAAGACCTTGGACATGAATAAAAATGGAATTCCAGATTATCAGGAAATTGATACTGATGGTGATGGAACACCGGACTACTTGGATGATGATGATGACAATGATGGAATACCTGATGATCTTGATGATGACGATGATGGTGATGGAATACCAGATGACCAAGAAATTGACACAGATGGTGATGGTATTCCAGATTATCTAGATGATGATGATGACAATGATGGTATTCCTGATGATGAAGATGCAGATGCAGATGGTGATGGAATACCAGATGCTGAAGAGGATGACACTGATGGGGATGGAATACCTGATTACTTGGATGATGATGATGATAATGATGGTGTCCCAGATAGTATTGACACTGACAAGGATGGAAATGGAATACCAGATTTTATGGAAAAGGACTCTGATGGTGATGGTGTTCCTGATTATCTGGATGATGATGATGACAATGATGGTATACCAGATATATTAGATAATGATGATGATGGTGATGGCATTCCAGATGATAAAGAAGATTTTGATGGAGACGGAATCCCTGACTACTTGGATGATGATGCGGATGGTGATGGTAAGTCAGACAAACTACCTGACTCTGACGGTGATGGTATTCCTGACATACGTGATGATGATGATGACAATGATGGCATCCCTGACACCCAGGAAGACACGGATGGTGATGGCATTCCAGATTACATGGATGATGATGCTGATGGAGATGGTATTCTTGATAAAGATCAAGATTCTGATGGAGATGGCATCCCAGATCATTTAGACGATGATGATGACAATGACGGTATTCCTGACAGCCTTGACAAGGATGATGATGGAGATGGCATACCTGACAGCCAGGATAAGTCCAAATGTGACAAAGATACCTGCCCTTCAAAACCAATTAAAAAGCCAAGCAAGAAGAAAAGCTTGGCCAAAGAACAGGCTTCATTTTGGATTCGCATAAAAAATGCTCTTAAGAAAATGATGGCAGCTGCACTGAACCAAGAAGGTGGACAAGCAACTGAGAAACCGCCTCCACCACCTCCAGTCAAACAGAAGCCACATGAACAAAAATATGATCTCCTTGATGTGGTCAAGAATTTCATTTGGGGGAAACCTAAAAGTGATGATGATGACGATGATGATGACAATAAAAATAAGGAAAATGATGACAAGGATGATGATGACAATAAAAATGACGAACTTCCAGACACTCCAATAAAAATTGTGCATGCCAAGCTCAAGCAAGCACCACCAAAGGGCGTTAAAATCACCATTCCAACACCAGCACAAAAGTTGCAGGTTGTTAAGAGGGTTGATGCCAAAAATGTCCAACTAGAGGCCTTGAAACTGGCAGCCCAGAAAAAGGCAGCCAATGTCCAAACAAAAACACTGAAAGGTAAAACACTCACACCGATAGAAATACAACAACTTCAGCTACAAAACAGAAAACAACAAAACAGCAAGCAGCCTCCTCAGAAATCAGAGCCTACTATACATCAAAAGCCAATCAAACAGACCCATTCCACAGATCAGTCCATTAAACAACCCCCTCCCACCCAAAAGCAGCCAACCTCAAATCAAGTTGTTCCACCACAAAAACAGATTAATAAACAGAACTCTTCCCCAAAGAAAGATGTCTCCAAACAAACCCCTGCCCCCGAAAAGCAGTCCACAAAGCAATCGACCCCAGTGCAGAAAAAGACAGCAAAACTATCACCACCCGTGAAGAAGGAGCCGGTACAAGCCCCTCCCATCCAGAAACAGCCAGCCAAGCAAGCCACACCCCAGCAGAAGCAGGAACCATCGAAACAAAGCAATGGCAAGGTCAAGCAGCAGCAGGGAAGAAAAAAAACTGAGTTGTAAGCTGGGCGTATGGTGGAGGAGATGAGTGTAGAGCTGTCCCTATAAGTGACCATCCACATTCCAACACTGTTCAGGATTGGGAGAAGCTGAATTTTTTAAACAAGTTGGTGATATCTCAGCTCAAGAGCTGCTAATGTAAATGTGGGTTTAAAGTTTGGTCAAAGTTGTTGCCAGGTTTTTTTTTCTTTTTAATTAAACTGAAGTGCAACATTGATGTCCTAAACTAGTGTATTATTTGGCTACGTCGTAATTACCCATTCTTGTAACTTTCCTTAGAACCTAATAAATGCACAGTGACATCATGGAAGTCAGGGACTCTAATTATTTAAGATATATTAGTCAACCAATAATGTATTGTCTTTCCAATGATTTGAAAATAATAATATAGTACTTTTTTAATGGTTAACATTAAAAAAACAAATTTTGTCTATTTGTTGATTTGTCTGTGATGAACGTTGTCTCTCATTCATTGTTTCCTTCGAAGATGTTCATTTGTAAGATTGGTCACAAGGGTGGCCAGGTTTTATCATGGTGCTCATTTGATATTGTTTTCTTCCTTGTGCTTGCCATAAACTCTGCCCTAGACACACCTTTTATTCCTCATCCGTCCATTTTTTCTAAATAATGTTTAGTTCATGTGGTCAATAATTTGGATGATGTGTTCATTTTCTATGTACTGTCAGCAGTTTTATATTTTCCTTATTGTTACCTTTAATTGGTTTCCATAATTAAACAGTTTTAATAACTATTAACATTTAAAAAACACAATAATAGAGTTCAAACAGACCTATTGAAAATGAAAGAGCCAAATCTACTTTAAAATGTCACTCTTTACTTAAATGGATGCAGTTAAAAAGAAAAAAATCTTTTATCTTAAGATTATATTGTAACAATGACATGTATATCAGAAGGGAAATAATTATGGGGCTGAATCAATGAAAAAAAGAAATTTTGAATGGATTTTACTTTGGTAAACACATGTACCATTTGATACAATTGTTGTTTGATAATTTATAATTCTATTGATATCTTTGTGAAATTAATTTCATCAGTATAAGTTTGTTTGTCCTTTACATTTAAATTAACACATCAATATTTTGACTTTGCAACTATATAACTTAATCTTAAATACTTTTCATAATATATTGATTTTCAAATAATGCTTTAACTTTAAGCAATAATTTTTTATAAAATTTATCATTAAACATGTCAAATCAGATGACATTTGGCATTTTCATACCATTCAAATGAATGAAAAACTTTAATACAGGAAGGGTATCAGTTTTTCTGAAAGATGTTAGCAATAACAAATCCTTTCCAATGTTTGGCTTAGATGATAAAATACCTATAATTACTTTAATTGAAATACAATTTTTTTTACACTTGAAGTAATTTAAAAAAAAAAAATGTAAAATAATATTATACATATCACTGTCAACCACCTCTAAATAATGCTTCAATTCATTTTTTTAATTTTAACTTTCATCACTCCCTCAAACATACCAAGCTTGTGAGGTGATGGCCTTCCTATTAATTTTTTTTTTTAATAATAAAATAATTTTTCATCAAATGCTGTTTGCAGATGAATTATCCCTCTCTGTTTTTTTCCTCATGCAAATTAACCAAGACTTTCAAAGAAATGTAATTTTAATTTAATGCTAAATCTATTTATTAGTTTATTACTATCATTTTTTCATTTCCTATTAGTTTGAAATATTTGCCAACATTTTGATATATATTTAAATGAGTGTGTTTCAATTTTTCTCTCTGTGATTCTGATGTCTAATAGACAATAACAACTGACGTTTTCTAAAAGAATTTAAAACTGCCAGTCAAATAAAATATGTTAATTAATAGATGTTATCTAAAAAAATAAATTAGAAACTTTTTCCAGTCAACAAGACCAGAAAAAATTTTCCAGTTGACTTACTTAAAAAAAAAGAGAAGTATTTATTGAAATAAAAAACTTGTGTAATATGATGCTTATTGGCAAATTTTTAATACTTAAAATTAATGCATTAATTCATTAGCAGAAATTGTTAATTAATAGTCAGTTGTGGTGTAACTATTTTGGATAATGGAATGCACTGTTTTGTATGTTTTAACAATTATGACATATTTTATTCTTCTACTTAGCGTATCTACGCATAGTTTAGAATTGATGTATTGGTTTGTGTAAGTTATCTAATCTGATTGTATGACTATTTAAAAAAAAAAGAAGTGCCTAAAAGAATTGAGTCTCATATTAATCAGTTACCAGTGAGTGGAGTCTGTGAGTTGGTTGTCAAGGTGCGTAATTTTTAAAAATTTATTGAAAGCAAGTTATTTTGCAAATCAATGTTCCAGTTTGAAACACTGGTGTGATAAGATTATTTAATAAACTAAAACTGAAGTGTCCAATTTTCGCATGTTTAGCATCCAAGCTATAATTACAATTATGAAAATGGCTGTGACTAATATTAGTAATAATGAAATGTTGATTTATTGTGGCCTTTTATTAATTTTTTTATCAGCATTTTGTACTTTCCATAATTAAAAAAAAGTGTGTACTTTACATAATAAATGAGCAATTAAATGACATTTAAACCAATGCTTGCATGGAATCTCTTAATTTGAGATATTTTGTGGTGAATAATGTCTGTTTTATATAAATTTGTCTTTCTATTTCCAACTAATGTTTCCCTGAATTAAAAAAAATAAAAAATTAACTTCTGAATAGTTACGACTATCAGAACGGAAAGAATTGTTTGTCTTAATCCATTTCCTTACCAGATAAATATAACTCTAATCCACTAATAAGATTATTGTAATTTATTTTATAACAATTTTCTAATGGTATGTGCAAAAAAAAAAAAAAAGTTCTGTTCTGTGTGGTATTCTTGCAAGGAGAAATCAGGGACTAAATGAGGCAAACTAACAATGTTCTTTAAATTTGTGTAAACGTGAGAAATAGTCCAGTGTTTGTATGAAAGCGAGAAATAGTCCACACAGTGTTTGAAAGTTAAAGCCTCTTTAAAAAATATATAATAAATGCCTAACCCCATCCTTAACATTCGCCCCACTTGAATGTCCCTAATTTTATTCACAAAAAGCTTTTAGCTGATGTTAAGACATTATAAAAACCCTTTTGATATCCTTCTAGGATAATCTTTATTTAGAGGCAGATCATTGGTGGAAGTCCAGTAGAGTAATGCATGCATGGTCTGTGCCATTCAGTTATCAGTTGTGTCTGTCTTGAAAGGATATTTTATTTCAATGAATAAAGCCTATTTCCAAACAACATTGGATTTTATTTGTTTTTGTACTGTGGGTTATTTATATTTATTTCTAGATTTTGAGTTGTGTAAATATTTGCTATACTGGAAAGCAACTACTGTGGCAAACAGTAGCTTTCCTGTACTTTTCCACTAACCTGCACAGGTCTTCAAAATGGAGTTATCACCACCCAAAGCAAGGGACTATTAGAAATCCATAGCAAAAATGTTCAGTCTCATCAGTGAGAGGCAGATGAGAAGGGAAGATGAATAAAGCTGCTGTTGATTGGCCGCTGGTTAAAGCGTTGCAAATCCAGAATTGGACTTCAATGCTAACTCCAGCCATATAAGACTTCTTACCTAATGATCTTTGGATACAAAATTAAAGCATATTTTTAAACAATATTAAAAAAAAAATCCAGTTCTAATAATGGTAAGTTATAAGAGGCTTGCGGTTGGACTGTGAATGAAGCTTTCAAGTAGATTAATGAGGCACAAACAATTTGTGTAAATAAAACAACATATGCTAAGATCTACTTAAGATTACACAATATACAAATTCAAATATTATAATTATATAAATGTAAAATAAAATTATATTAATGTTTTTTGTTTTACTGATAAAGGCATTTGCTGAAATGTTTGAATTTGTATTCAGTGTAATCGTATTTAAAGCTTAGCAGGGCAGGTGGTTTGCTGGGGACAGAAGAAATGCTTTGAAGACACACGGAAAGCATCTTTGAAAGAATTTCCCATTGACCTGGGCACATGGCAACAGTCCTCAAAGAATCTAAACTCATGGCGCTCTTCCACACACAAGGGCTCTGTGCAACAGAACAGCTGCTGCAGAACGTAAGAGACAGGCTAGAAAAACCAGAGTTAACTCTGCACCTGGAGTTTCCCCCTCCATCCCCTGCACCTTCTGCACCAGAACTTTATGTGCCAGCATTGGCCTAAACAGCCATCTGCGCACCCACAGACAGATTCAGCCCTGGCAACAGGCCAGTGTTTAAAATGGTCATGGTTGACTTTTAACAGACAAACTATCAAAGCTTAGCACATATTTTTTTTTATTTACACAAATTTTTTGTGCCTCATTAATCTAATGGTTAAGTTATATTCTCTTCAAAATATATATAAATAGAACAGCAAAGTGTCACAAGAATTAAGAAAACATTTGAAAGAAACAACACAAAATGCTGGACACATTTAACATAATCCACGGACACATTTATCATAATCCACAGACACATTTAACATAATCCATGGACAAGTTTAACATAATCCATGTTTTATAACATCTTTACACCTCTGTCCATGTTATATAACTTCAATACACAATTGGCATAAATTAATAAAGAAACAGGTCTATGTCAAGCCATAGTTTGTTAATAGGATTTTAATCAGCTCATCTACAAATGCTTATTCTGCCTGTTAAATCATACACAAAATATGAAAGCTATCATATTCTATTTATGACTTGCATTTATTTGTTATTGAATAAAATAAATACAACAGAAATTTGATTATTTACCAGAGTTCTGAGCAAAATGATGATGGAAAATATTTCTGGTGTATTTACATTAAAAATCATTTACTGCGCATTATTTTTAATCATCATTAATTAAACAGTTGTGTAGTACCTAACATTTTCATTTATTTCTTAGCAGTTTTTTTTTTTCACAGAAACTCTTTCAAAGCAATAATGTGATTGGACAGCAAAGATAAATGGATTACTGTACAGAGAAAGACAATCAAAGTTCTAGTGCAGTTTACTTTAATTAAAACATTCCATGAATATAATTTTATTTACAGGGTATCGTAAATGGCATAGGTAAATATACTGTTGCATAAATGAATGAATGCCGCAAGCAGTTGATTAAAATTAGAAAAAACCAAAGTGGAATCATTATCATTCAAACTTTTTGAACATGGTTTTTCAATGGCAAATTTTACCATTAGATCTGTTTTAACTTTGTGATGCCTTTAGATAAAAAAATTATTCAAAATTATATTTAACTGTAACACTGGTTTAGACACAACAGTAATATTTGCAGTAATGGTGACTATTTTTAGAGCTGAAAGACTATGGCTATAACAATTAACCTTGTATTTTATAAAAAAACATGTCCTAACACCATCACCTTTTTTATTGATAATAATAAAGTACCATACACAAGCAGAGGAAAAAAAAATCGATCCATTTAAATATTCAATGTGCATTATTTATTGTATATATAAGTTGTGCCCAATAAATTATTTGACATTGAATAAATAAACTTTCGAAAGAAAAAAAAATCTCAAACAGATTTCAGTACATAAACATGGTTCAGTAATTTTTTGACAATACAGTATTTGAATATGACATAAGCTGAAAATAGATATGTACAATAAAAAATCCTTTCAATTATTTAAATTTTATGAAATGATTAATCTCTCAATCTCAATATATCTATAATCTATATAGATTAATTTTGATGTCGAATTAATTTTGCATAGATTTATCAGCTTAGTTTAAGTAAACAAAAAAAAGTGACTTTTTAGCCTCACATTACTTTTCAGATGTTGGATATTAAAACTTATTGCTGATTAAGCACATAAAAATAAGATTATTGAGTAATCCCTAACAACACACAATTTACATATAGCCTGACAATTACTAGTGCAGATTGCATAAATAATACTGAAAAGGCACTTTTTTATAGCCATAACGACTTATTTACCATTGTCATAAATTACACAAATGCATTAAATATTTAAAAGTATGTGTAAAAACATTTCCGAGATTTATTGAAAATCAGTTTTATTGCAAATAGTGTGCTTTAAATTATATTTTTAGTTAGCTTTTTTTTTT